AGAGGCTGTAAATCTTTACTGGGGCAGAAAGCCTCATCTTTGTCCCATGGAATGGCTGGTAGTTTCAATCTGCTGACTTTTAGGTTAGCAGCCCGACTTACAACCACTATGCTACTGAGCTCCTTTTTTAAACTCAGTAAAGTTTTTTTAAAAGTCAAATGTAGTTCAGACACCAGAGATCCAGAGTTTACAAAAACTGGGTAAAACGACAAACAACAACAACAACAGCAACAACAACAATTTATGACTGAAAAACGTTATGAAAAGATAAGTTGAAAAATTCACTGAAGAGTTCATGTTGGATTTTTTTTTCTAAAGTCTGAGTCTCCATAATTAAGATTTTCATTTCCAAATGAGTGAGAAAATTATACTTTTATTGAACTTTTTTTTTAAAAAAGTAAACTGCTAGTTTTGCTGATCTTGGATTCTCTTATGGCTCTACATTTATAGTGACAACGTTTATTTATTTTAATGTTGGCATTTAAAAATTAAGACTGTTTGAGTTTGATGTATAAAGTTGGTTTCTACATGGTACGACTGTGTAAACTAGGTCATCCAGTAGTTACAGTTCTTCTAACACATTAATTAAATGCATTCTAAGGGGATGAGTCCTGGTGTGACGCTGCTGGATAATGTGCTGAACTGCAAGGTCACTTTGAACTGTATTGTTGAGATGCTCCTCAGAAACCCTATGCAGGTTTGCTATGAGTCGCAACCGACTCAATGTCACCTAACAACAACCGACTCAATGACACTTAACAACAGCAATAAGGTGATGAGGGCTACAGGGCCCTTCCTCTTGGGCCAAATAACACTGTTTCTTAGTCTTTCTCTACATTTAGTACCACAAAGGATAAATTTGCATCACAATTTAATTTAACTTTAAATTATACAAGAAATACCTTTTAAGTATCTATATCTATGATGTGCAAAGGTATATATGCTCAAAATGCCTGGCTATCTTTGTTTGCCACCACTCATCTGTCAGTTTGACACAGTGTGGTGGCTTGCATGTTGTGATGCTGGAAGCTATGCCACCAGTATTTTGAATGCTGGCAGGGTCACCCATGGTGGATTCCTTTCTGCTGAGCTTCCAGACAAACACAGACTCAGAAGAAGTGGTCTATTTCCCAACATTTAGCCTCTGAAAGCCTTATGAATAGTAGTGAAACACTGCCAGATAGCACAAAATATGGCCTATTGAAACATGATGAACAATTCCAGAATATTGTCAGATGTAGTGCCAGAAGATGAGACCCTGAGGTAGGAAGGCACTCAAGATGCGACTGGGGAAGAGCTGCTTCCTCAAAGTAGAGTTGACTGTGATGACATGAGTTAGAGTAAAGCTCTCACGACCTTCATTTGCTGATGGGGCACAATTCAAAATGAGGAGACACAGTAGCACACATCCACTAATAACTGGAACATGCAATGTATGAAGTATGAATCTAGGAAAACTGGAAGTTGTCAAAAATGAACTTGATATACTAGGCATTAGCTGAAATAGACTGGTATTGGCCATTTTGAATCTGACACAGTTTACTATTCTGGGGATGACAAACTGAAGAGGAATGGTGTCACATTCATCATCTTAAAGAACATTTCAAGATCTGTCTTGAAGTACAATGCTTTCTGTGATAGGATAATGTCCATATACCTACAAGACAGGCCAATTAATACCACTATTATTCAAATTTGCACACCAACCACTAATTCCAGTGATGAAATTGAAGAATTTGACGAACTTTTTCAGTGTGAAATCGATAAAACATGCAATCAAGATGCATTGGCAATGACTGGTGATTACAATACAAATATTGGAAACAAAGAAAAGGATCAGGAGTTGGAAAATATATAGAAATGATGCTGTAGGATAGAATTTTGAAAGACCAATGACTTCTTCATTAAAAATACCTTTTTAAGCAACATTAATGACAATAATACATATGGATGTCATTAGATGGAATACACAGAAATCAAATTGACAACATCTGTGGGAAGAGACAGTGGAAAAGCTCCGTATCATCAGCTTAACAGGCCTGGGACAGACTGTGGAACAGACCATCAATAATTCATATGCCAGCTCAGGCTGAAGCTGAAGAAAATTAAAACAAGTCCACAAGAGCCAAAATATGACCTTGAAAATATCCCACCTGAATTTAGAGATCTCAAGAGCAGATTTGATGCATTAGATACTAATGACTGAAAACCATTAGAGTTGTGGGATGACATCAAGAACATCATATGGGAAGTAAGCAAAAGGTGATTAAGAAGACAAGGAAGAAAGAAAAGACCAAAATGGATGTCAGACTTTGGAACTGTTTACCAGTGCAGAGATGCTAACACAAATAGAAGAAATAAGGAGGCAAAATAGCTGAACAGAAAATTTCAAAGGGTAGCTCTTGAAAATGAAGTCAAATATTGTAATGAAATTTGTACAGATGTCAAGTTAGAAAACAAAAAGGGTAGAACACACATAGCATTTCTCAAGTTGAAAGAACTGAGGAAGAAATCTAAGCTTAGACTTGTGATACTGAAGGATTCTACGGGCAAAACATTGAATGATGCAGAAAGCATCAAAAGGAGATGGAAGGAATACACAGAATCAATGTGCCAAAAAGAAATAGATAATGTTCAGTCATTTCAAGAAGTAACATATGATCAAGAGCCAACTGAAAGAAGAAATTCCATTGAAAGCACTGGCAAAGAACAATGCTCTGGCGGCTGGGGACTCTGGACTCTGCGAGGGAGGGCTCTGTGTGTTGATGTCCGGGGGCAGGCTTGTGGGGTGTATCCTTTGGCTGTTTGATGACTCATGCAGGGAATTGTAATCATTGCAATGAAACCAAATAAGATAGGATGAATGTAAAGCTAATGTTCTCCCATGTAAACTATCACATTTGTTGTTGGCAGGTGCCATCGAGTCGGAACCAACTCATAGCGACCCCATGCACAGCAGAACGAAACAATGTCCAATCCTTGGCCAACCTCACTACAGCTGCCACACTTGACGCCATCAATGATGCCACCTGGCTGATCCATCTCGTTGGGGGTCTTCCTCTCTTTCTCTGGCCCTCTATCTTACCCAGCATGACATCCTTCTCTAGCGACTGTTCCTTCCTGACA